GACTCTTTCACATCCTAATGGGCCAGCCGCACCAGTAGGACACACCTTGCAGGTCCAGCACTTTTATTCCATTTGTTTCCATGACCCAATGCCAGTTTTAGGTCATGTAATCAGCACAGCAGTGAGATTGGAGCAGCAGGTTATGAGTTTAGAGTTCCGGCATTTCTATTTCTCTTCAGTCCATCACAGCACAGCTAGTAAAGTGAACCTAGTATTACAATTAACATAAATCAGTAGGAATGACATGAATTTATTTAATAACACACACAAAAAAAGGGAACCATACCACCCAAACAGCTTATATGATTTCAGCTTTCTGTTCTCTGCAGTGTTAGAAAATAAGCCCCAATTTGTTTTAGGCTTACTGAGTGCTTCAATGTACATTCGTAAGTAACAGGCAGCAATGACTGTCTGTGGACTACCCTCGCTTTGTCACAAAGGGTTTTATGAGCATGACAGCATATAGCATGTAACAGGCAATGAAGTACCGGCTAATGAGTCATTTAGGTCTTTGAAGTAATGTATTATGATGTCTTATAAACCATATTTACAGTGCTTTATAAATGTAAGTCACCGTGCCAACAAAACCCTTAAAGGAAATGTACAAAGACCGGTTATGCTATTGAAATGATGGTGGGCCATAGCAATTGGAGTGAAAACCAGTCAAGAGCAAACAATCAAGATTCATGTTTTATTACATGAAAAAATAAGGCATGATATCTTATTGCAACAGCTCCAATATTGATTTTGTTATGATGCAGAAGTCAGAGCTGATAGCCAGATCACTAGAAATGGGGGATATCACTACTGAAAAGATTGAGTAATCTAAACATATCTAAAGTACAACTAGACCTTAATATTGTTGACCTATAATAAGTTCCCCAACCCCAATGAGTGCTGCCCACTGGGTCAAATACATGACTTCAGCCCCAATCAAGCAATATTAACTGTGCAGCTTAGAGCTGCACAGCCTTTCTCCTAAAAAGGGCGCTTTGTACTGCTCATGCCCACCTCTGTGCATTCGTTTCTATAGGAAAGCCGTACTCCAAATGACCACTTGAGGCCACCAGGAGTACAACTTTCCCATACAGTGACGGAACTATTGCCATAGCGACCCAGGCAGCCGCTATGGGGCCCGGGGGCCCAGCCAAGGACCAGGAACAAAGGGGTCCCCCTGATGCTGTGCAGGTCGCCTGGGTCGCTATGGCATCGCAGACTGCAGGTCTATCACTATCGCCTGTCAATGATCTGTGCAGGGACGTGTTCCTCCTGAACTTTCTATTCACCTTGCACTCTCATTGTACAATCTCCTTTAGTCTTCATACACAGCAGTGTAATAGTTGAGTACATATTCCTCATGCTATGGCTTTCATACTACAACCATGTCGGTATGACAGCCTAACCAACTGGACACAAATTGAATGGCTTGTTTAGGTAAGGCTTCTACTATATAACTTTGGAAAAGCTAAAGTAGATGGTATAGAAATTGTAAAATCAGATTGTAACGTGTGGCCAGTTTTATAGGTGGGGACAATGCTGAGCCAACCTGGCCATATTTTGCTCAAATTTGGGTATTGGGTGGCGCCTGTACTGAACAGAACAAGTCTCAAAAATATTTTAAAGTATTTAAAGATTTAAATTGTTGGAGGTATGCACAGAGAATGATTCCACACAAAATAAAATGTCGGCACTCAAGCGTAGCAGGCCTTACTATGTGCAAGAGGTGCATATGCATAGGACGCCTACATGAGGGGGTCACCCCAGGAGTATTTTCAATGTACTTGGTACCTCTACTTTGCCCTTCGATGTTTATAATAAGGAACATTTGCCCCCTCAGTCCCCCCACCACTCCAAATTCTACTTTTCAAAACCCACCTCACCACCCTGGATCCTTGCTGAGGAGCCAGGTGGCCAAAGAGCAATGTCAAAACTTCCTCCATATCGGCAAAGTGAAACTGTATTCACAAAGCACATTGTATACTGCACTCTCTTCAACCTACAACTGGCAACAGCAAACCTAAGGTTTCCAAGGGGCAGTACATAATGCCTTTGGCGAATGTTGTATCACCCCACATGAGGAAATAAGCCCTTTAAAAGATGCACTTGGCTGCCCCATTGTGTGACAAGCTTCAACAGTGCTGAGGTAACATTCACAGAGCAGAAATGCCAACTGGTTACAAGTGAACAAAGTATTTTCTTTATGACTGGGATGGGTCTAATCTATCACACAGGGCGCCATAGAACCTAAGACCATCCCTGCACATGAGGCACTTAAAGTGTTTTCCAAATAGCTTTAGATGGCTGTACTGCTTTCTGCTGGATGTAGCATGACATTGAAGCATGTTTTACCTAGTTTAGAGTACAAAACAAAAAGGTTATTTCACTATGTATTAAGTGTCTACACAGTACAGTAGTATGGCCTAGTACAGAGAACAACAGGGAAGCCTGTGGTGATCAAGATGGCCGCCTGCTTACGTACAGCGGTTTCCTTTTCCTGGCTGTGTCGCCACAAATTGTGCGTGAACAAAACCTGTACTAAAAATTGTAAACAAATCTGAATTTTGGATTGCAGACACTGTGAAATTGTTATGCACAAGTGAAATGAATCTTAAGAGTAAAACAAATCACTACTTCGAGCCTTACTTCACCAGAAATGTACCCTTACATTCGAGCATTGTGAGTGCACTGTATGTATCACAAGGCATGAGCAATCCAACGTGTACAAATAGATTTAGATATATAAATATCAAACTGTAGGTAAGCTATAATGTAAAATGTACGTGTGCTAATTGCTTATATCTCACGATGCTTATAAGTGTGTCAATCGAAATGTTCACACATGTAAATAAATGTAAAAAGGTGAAAAAAAGCAATGTTCAGTAAAATGTATTTATTAAAAGCCAGTTAATGTATCATATTTTTATTTATGTATTTATTTTTTTGGTTTGCAGAAATGGGGGGTCACCCAAATGGACTCCCAATCTCTATTTCTGTATTTAACTTCACAATGGCAATGGAACACCAAAATGACTGTTTTGCGCTAAATATGATGGAAAAAATAATAATTTCTTAATAAACTTGCTGGTCCAAGATATAATAGTGCTTGTTATTTATTAACTGCTAATTTAGATACAAAAAAACACAAGTGACGTTAAAGGGAACTGCGGGCTCATTGAAAATGTATTGAGCGTTATGTATCAATGTGTTCTTAAAAAGAAATGTTAAAAAAAGTGATTTACCCATAGCCACCAATAAGATTCAGATATGTAGGGCAGACCTGATGATGAATGGTGGATAGAGAAAAGTAAATGCAGTTCTTGCTGATATATAAGGCCCAGAATACAGTGTATAGAATGCATAGTGTAGGAAGAGGGGGAGGCCAATAGGACCAAATTATATGATCTGAAGCAGGCATGTCAGACTTGTGTTTTTTGGCCTCATGTGGCAATCTCGTTTGTTTGTGACACTTGGCCAGTTTAAGGATTTATACTGAATCAGCTGTATTCCAGTTGGTAAAGGCAGGGCCGGAATAACATAGGGGGTACTGGAGCGCCAGCTTCAGGACCACCACTGAAAATAGGCCCGGCCATTGATCCTCTCAGTAGGCCTGATGGCAATTTGGGCAAGCTGGGCTAAACACAATCAGGCAGAGGCTCTGGCGGCTCTCTAATCAAGCATATTAGGCGCAGGGCCCCAGCAAGGAGCGAGCGGCCGCCTAGTCAGAGAGACGCTTTTACTGCTTCCCGTCCAACCGACCTACAGCACCAGGCCCATGATGCTCTTAATCTGGCCTGCACTTTCTTACATAATTGTTTTTTGTTGCAAGCTGTTTTTTTTCTAAAGCGTTAATTACCACAGTGCTAGACTCTTATTCTGGTGTGGCCCTCAGTGGACATCATGCAGCCTCTTGAAGAACAATTCCACTCAATATGGCCCACTGTTCCAATTGAGTTTGCTAGGCTTGTCGTAAAGGGTCAGTCTACTGAAACCCAATCTATCATTGTTTGGTTGGTGCTGGAGAGACATCTCACCCAAAGGTTTTCTTATGGCACTTAGGGAGACCCCTGCATTGGGATCCCTGGTCTGCACACCTGCCATGGCCATTATGAAGGGGACCTTCATTAGCAAGAGTATTGAGGGGTTAGAACCCATGTCAGGTTTTTACTGATGTCTGTGTCCCTACTAAGGAGATTTGTCCTCTTTATTTGTGAAAGTGATGGCAAAATCCAAAATTTTGAGTTGTCATCAGAATGTGAATAGAGGGGGCACATCTGTTCCAGTAACTATTGTTTGAGTGGTTGCTGGCCACTGAAGAGCTCTATGAATTCACAGTCCTAATACATATTCTTCCTTAGTAAGCCCAGACGAAATGAGTTTTTGCATAGGCCCCCAAAACGCATTGGTTATTTCTATACTGTCCCCTTAACCATATATTGAATAAAGATGTATCAGGACTATTAAAAAAATCATGGCGCTTCAATTCACAATCCTGCAACTGCCTAAGCGTGGATTTTCTCTCACTTTGGAGAGATTTCTGATGTGTCTCCCCAATTGTATACAGAAAGAACCTGACATGGGTTTTAACTCGTCCCTACTCTATGCAAACTGAAAACAAAACAAGTTGTGGTTTTGGATAAAAATATAGAGTATGTATTTTAAAAAGTGTCAGAAGTTGGAAAAAAGGTGAAGGGGAACACTCCAAGGTGAGCAGTAACAAAGCCAAGAAAATGCATCTGAATTTGGAGAACCCAAGAGATAAAAGAAGCCAGGGGGGAAAATGTTGCCCAATGCATTGCATATAAAGCAAGAATGTCACTTTGGGATTGACTGGTTCTTTGAATATCTGAAAAACAGCTTTGCTTTATTTCACAGCCCAGGAACGTGCCTGGAAACTCCCAATGTACATGAACTATTGCAATTCCCGTCTTGAGTCTGTTGCAGCCATCCTGTTTTATACAGTGTCCACAATATGAAAGGGTTTAGCAATTCAGATATGAGTATCACGGAAAAGGATTCTGTTTTGCAGACATTTTTGCAGACATTTTTCTTTCAGTGCTTTCTATAAAGAGCATCATGCTGTCCGATTTATCATCCTTTGGCAGCTGCTGGATAAGTTGAAGGAGTTTTCTGCCCAACTCACGTGCCTAAGATGTAAGAAAATAAAATACATGTTAGTCCCAGCTAAATCACATGACCATTTTGTGCCATTGCTTCATTTACAGTGTGGTATTATTCATTATTGGTATTTATATAGCACTTTACACAAAGCACATTCACATCAATCCCTGCCCTCAAGGAGCTTACAATCTAAGGTCCCTATATCATATGCATACATCTGAGGGCCAATTTAGACAGGAGCCAATTAACCTACCAGCATGTCTTTGGAGTGTGGGAGGAAACTGAAGAACCCTGAGGAAACGCACGCAAGCACAGGGAGAACATGCAAACTACTGGCAGATAGTGACCTGGCTGGGATTCAAGCCAGGGACCCCAGTACTACAAGGCAGAAGTGCTAACCACTACATGACTGTGGTAGCCCTCATATAACTAGGTAGCCTCAACCCACAAATGGAGTGACTGCAAGAAAATTAAGTTTAAAATAATTTTCCTTGGCCAGCCATGAGCCGCCTCTACATGGCCAACTTAAAGAGAATCTGATGAGTGCAAACATTGTGTCTCATCATCCTCCCTCATCCCCATTAGGTTTTTCATGGACTAAAAAGTGGTAACCCTACTGCTAACCCAGTCGATGTGATCATAAATAATTGCTATTTTTTTAAAATAAAAAACACTTGTTTACTTATTTTACTTATTTATCTTCTGCAGTCCATTTGCAGCCAATTACTGTGTATATGCACTTGGGGTGGTTGCATGGCATTTCTCAGGATGGGTCTCCTTATGATGATAAAGGTTGACCATGCCTAAATAATGTGTGTTTAAATGGCCACTTGTAGTGTCATTCAGCCTGTGTGACAAGGTAGCAACACTGAGATAGGGACAGTGGTTGTCACCCTATAACAGGAAGTCCCTGAACAAGGACTTTCATGGTAGGATCACCAGGTATTATTTTAAAATATTACTTGAAAGCTGAAAATGTACAATTAGTTTCTGCAATGACTTTAACATGTTAAAGCTTATATGAGATTTTGGTGAATGAGTTTAAATATGCTGTATGATTTCATGGTCGGTTATGTGTATGAACTCTCTATAGGCTTATAATTTAAATGACTTTACAGGGAATACTTACCAACTTGAAGTCCAGTCTGAGATAGTGCAGCATAGCCAGGGCATGCAGAACCTTGGCTATCTCGGCTGGCTCTTTTTTTGCAGCCTGTTCTCTCATGTCATAGATAGCACTGAGGATCTGAAGAGCTTCTGCCTCCTGGTTTTCATCTATGGCAAAGACATTGCAACAAATTAGGATGACCTGAGCAGAGTCATGTAGTTTTATTCTAATTACTTTAATTAGCTTCTGCTAATAACCTGACAGAGGTTCTGATCCTTCCAAACCTTATCAAAAGCGAGATTAAAAAACGTTTTGGAGGTTTACTTTAAAGAATATTCCTCTTAAAGTGGAAGAAAGGTTGATAATAAAAAAAAAACCTGCTGATTGGCACTAGGAGACTGTGGGGTCTATTCACTAAGCTGCCGAGGGCAGCCGAGTGAATGACCGATCTGAAGTGAAGTGAGCCGAACACTGTTCGGCTATTCACTTCAGGCTGGTACGGCTAATTTCAGCCATATATCGGCTTGCTTCGCGTGGCTTCGGGTTGGCCGAACATGCTGAGCATGTTCGGCCGACCCGAAGTGCAGAAGGAGTTCAACTCAGCCGATCCAACATCTGGAATGAATTGCTCTCACTGCGACGTTCGCGTCGATATGTAACATGTGCGGCGTAATGGGCACAATCGTCGTTTTTGCACGTATGCGCCCCCGACGCATGTTTGCATGCGTGTATGTATGGGTGGGGACTTAAAAAATGTTTTTATTTTTTTTATTCTTTTTGTGTTACTTTACATTTTTTTTGGGGGGGGGGAACTTACATTTTTTTTCCTTTTTTACTAAACTTTATTGCTATCACATACGAGGCTAATAAAAACCCCCTATGTGATAGCAAAATATGTGACAGGTCCTCTTTATGGAGACATCAGGGGTCTCCAAGACCCCTAATGTCACCTAGGACCCCCCAAAAGAAGCTGATGAAGCTCAGATCTGCTCCATCAGCTTCTTTGCAGCTTCTGAAGCTGGAGAGTGACACAAGAATGCGGAAGTGATGTAATATACAACACTACCGCATTCTTGCAGAGGAGAGGGGATCTAGAGAGCGATCTAGAGAGCTCCCATCTAGAGAGCACCCCATCTAGAGAGCTCCGGGCCGACCGTTTTTTTACTACGGCTTGCCCGGAAGTGGTTAAAGATGCCGAACAGCAGTGAGTGAATAGCGGCATTCGGCATTCGGCAGCTTCGTGAATAGACCCCTGTGTGTTTTTTTCTGCCATAAAAGCTTCTTTCACCCATTTGGCATTTTCTTTTTGCCATATGCTGAGTCTTATGTGCAGCTCAGCGCACGGGCCCAGCATGCCGAGATGAAGTAACTCCCGTACGCATATCGCTGATTTATGTGATTGGGGTCTGGCCAATCAAGTTGCTGAATACTCTCAACCCAGAAGAAGACTGGGGAGAAGATGGAAGCGCCGGTAAGGGAGACATGCATCAGTGGAGGGGTACATTTTGGAGGTAAGTCGGCTGTGCATACTAGCACATTATGGCTAAAATCTCGAGGGTGCCTGTTTTTTTTTTTATACAGCTTTACTTCCGCTTTAAACAAAAAATCTAAGTATATCTTAAGCACAATTTTAGCTTTGGATATAGTCAGGGCCGGATTCATGAGCATCGTGAGCCTGGTGCTGTCAGTCGGGCGCATTGGAAGCAGCGGTTAGGGTTGCCATATTTCTTCAAACAAAACCCAAACACTCTAGCACCATGTGGCTGGTGCCTTGTGAGGGCTCAATGAGCTGCCACCTAATATGCCTCATTAGAGAGCCGCCGGCACCTCTGCCTGATTGCGTTCAGCCCGGCCCGGGCCGCCATCGAGCATACCGAAGCGATCCGTGCTTGCCGGGTCTATTTTCAGTGGTGAGCCTGGCGCTCCAGTAGCCTCTATGTTAATCCGCCCCTGGATACAGTAAATATTTAATCACACTATTGTGCTGGAAAATGATGTTCACATTTTTGCCTTATATGGCAAGGAGTCCTACCTAAGCCTTCTTGATCCCTGTCATCGAACCAAACAGGACCACTTCTCATTGAGGACCTTATCTGAACATCAACCAATCTGTTCAGGTGAGTGTACCATATGTCCGTTATCTGAAAAAAAAAACAATCTAGGATGATGATGATACTTACATATACTTGCATATATATATAGATAGATAGATGTATCTATCTATCTCTATATCTATATACACACACACACACACACACACACACACGTATTTATGTTTCAAACCTGCAATACTGACTTACCTCAGAATACAGAGAATCAGCAATGTCCATTTTATTTTGCCGGAAGAATACATTGGCCATATGGAAGTATCCCCCCGCAGTGCTGATGTCAGCCGGTCCAGAGACTGTGCTCGCAAAGTAAATCTGAGATGGATAAAGTACTTATACTCATGATTATGTAAATATAGTCATGTTTCCATAATAGGATAAAACACACAAGTGCTGAATACAGTGCTTAACATATACCCAGCCACTAGAGGGAGCACTGAGAAATCTGTGCATATCTTACACCCATAATATGAAACAGTAAGCAATTAAAGATTGTTTCACATATTTTTTTCAAATAGACATTTATGATGATAACATAAAATTTGTGGTTATGGACAAAAAAAATAAAAATAATTTTTCCTATAAAGCATATTTCCATTTTTGCAGTCAAATTTGAGAAAACCTCTCTATATGTTTGTTATGGGTTCCCATTCACACAGCATACCTAAAATTAGGGATGCACCGATGCCGTTTTTTTGGTATCAAGTACGAGTACCGATATTTCGAATACGGAATACCGATACCAGCATCCTGAGGTACTGTGGGGCTGCTGCCCGGCTTTCTGATTGCTTGGGAAGCCGGGGTTCTATCGAAAGAAAACCGACTTAATGCTCTCCTGCAACACTGCAAGGGCAGCGTGGCTTCCTGGCCAATCAGTCATGACGTGCCGCCTAACTTCCTGATTGGTTAGGAAGTCAGGCTGCCTTGCAGTGTCGCTAGGCAGCATGAAGCCGGCTTCCTAGCCAATCAGGAAGCCAGGAGGCGGGTCATGATCCGCCGCCCAGCTTCCTGAATGGCCGAGACGCCAGCTCCATGCTCCCTCGGTATTGGGGTAAGTATTGGAGTGAATGGTAACAAATATAAAATAGGTGTTATCCCGATGTAAGTGTTTAAAGGGGAACTTTATAACTATACATAGAAGAAAATATTCCAAACATACAAAACTCAAGTAAACAGCATTAGGACCTTTTGGGATATGGTGGTGCTTGTAGGTAGGGTCAGTGCTAGGCTATTTTGTACCCTAGGCAAGACTAGCTACTTGCACCCCCCAACCCACAATCCCCCCTTCGCGTGGCCCCATTCTCCTGCCGGCTGGCTTCTGCAGGCGACAGGCGGATGTAAGCAGTCGGGAGCAATAGACGTACTGCTATTGGCTATTTTTATTTGAAATAGCCAATAGCAGACTGGCTATTGAAACCACACCCAGTGAGCAGAAGAGCAGACCTGAGAGAGAACGTTGTCTCTCAGTTCCATTCCTCTGCTCAGTGGGCATGTGCAATGGCCAGCCTGCTATTGGCTTATGCAATTTGAAAAAGCCAGGGGGGGTTAGTGGTCGAGGCTGCACCCTAGGCAGCAGTGTGCCCTAGGCGGCTGCCAAGTTTTGGGGCCACTCAGGGTCCCTTTTTTCAGAGCGACACTGATATCATAGTACCTTATAAGCAAGTTTGGGGGAAATGCGTCAGAGATGTTTGTCTGAGATGTTTGTCTGAGATGTTCTTAATGCCGGATTGATGAAATAAAGGATACACATGGATTTTTGGAGTGCCTCTGCTTTCAGAAAATATATAATGTTTTGGGGGTTCTAAGTAATTTGCATTTTAACATGTGCGATATCTGCTAGTAAATACGTTGGTTTTCCACTTAATGTAAAAGGCCAAGCTGTTTCCCAAAACTGTCAGTACTACCGGTAATACTTTAAAATGCTCATACAGAATAAATATATAGATAAGGCCTTCAGACATTCCTCCAACTTTCTGGATCTGCATATTTGTATTAGGTATGTGACTGTAAAATGTAATGATGGTAGAGAATCAACATATCCAAGGTTAGAAAGGATCTTCAGAGGGAGGATACCTTTGGCAGGTGTATTTTAGGATTATTTCTATCTCAACTTAAGGGTCATGTCACACTGGCGATCCTGACAGTGGCAAAAACCTACAGGGATCTCTTTGGAGGACACAGCAGGGGCTGAAAAGACCCTTGCAGGTGTTGCCCTATTGGCAACTGGAGGAGCAAGGCGGCACTTTCTTACAGCATTTTGGCAGTGAGGAAGTGACGCCTTGCTGCCAAGGGAGTGGAATATATATACAGTATATATATATATATATATATACATACAGGGAGGAAAAATACATATATACACGTATATAGGTATGTTTCCTCCCTGTATTCCATAGTCATCCTCTCACTGTTGAATTCTCACCCGCATCAGGATTTCTAGTCGCCCAGAAGAAGGGACCCTGCGCGGCCCCGAAACGTTGGCTGTTTGATGCATGTGACGATTGATAAAAAGTGCTTTACTTCTTGCACATATCGAGTGCTGGTGACTTCTTATGGACTGTATCTGTCACGGCACCATCCGTGTTGTCACTTCAAGCACCAACCTCTTACTCACCGTCTGTATGCTGCATGGAGTGCAGGTGATTTCATATTAAGCATTCTAGTGTGACTCGGGCCTATCTCTCACAATGCACCCCCATAGTAATTAATAATTGTCTGATTGACACACAGAGCGGAAAACTGATCTACAAAATGTTATTGAAAAATAAAATGAAAATGGGTAATTAAATTAAACAGGTTTTTTTTTTTAGGAAAGGAGGACATGGGGAAATCTATCATTAATTTAAAAAAGAAAAAAATGAAGGAAGACACTTATATGATCCCCAGCAATGAGCAGTCAGCCCTCTGAATGAACCAATGCCATGTTTACCGAAGTGAGGACACAAGAGAGGAAATCAGCAACTGACCTTCACTGGGTTGCTGCATTACCCGTCGCTACACTTTAATAATTTACTCTAAATGACTTTTGTTGTCCCGAATTTGCTGCTGAAAGTGACTTTCTGATCGCACTCTGGCATGACGTTTTAGCTAAGGTATGCTGGAGTGACACTGTTGAATATTGAGGGCCGTATTGAAAATTGTATGATCTTGCATGTACTAAAGTAAAACATCAGGTTATTTATTTACAATACTACAGTGCTTCTCAAGCAGAGGATACCGGAATCTCTTGAGGTACATTGAGACACACCAGGGAGTATATGCATCCAATACAGCTGGGTAATGATCTGCTCCCCAATTAGTGACCGGGGTTCATGTCAAATTAGGTGTGTAGGTTTGCTAACAGGAAAATATTAAATAAACTCACATCATTAGAGAGGTGGCGCAGGGATTCCTCGAACTCCCCCTTGGCAGAGTACAGAAGGCCGAGATTCCGGTGCAGTTTGGATCGGGTGAGGTTGCTGCAGTCTACAGATTTTAATACAGTCCAGTAAGCATGAGTCAGGTACTCCTCGGCTTGTGTTAGATTCCCCAGACCTACATCATGAATTAAAGTAGTATTCAACTCTCAAACTGTTTTCAATATTGAATCCAGATTAAACAAATATACATTGCCCAGAAAAGTATTTTTTTTTTACGTTTCCCTTAGCACTCTCAGTTCTATTTCCCTGAACTTCCTCTCCAGTACACAATCACAGGGAGCAGAACAGTTTCCAGCAGCTTCCAGTGGTGTCACAAAGGGGGGTGAGGCCCGTCTGACACCATTAAAGGGATACAACAGCAAAAAGTTTCCCAGCACACTCACCAGCCAGCAAGCAAAAAAACTTGCCTAACTGCTAAGGTTAAAAACCATTGAAGGGGTGATACCAAAATGACTGACAGTCATTTTGGTGTCACCCCCCCTGAAAAGTCGGGCACTCGGTCATGGATGACGTCACGGTGGGGTGTCACCCGGGTGCACCCGGCCTCGGGACGCCTCTGATGGTATCTCCTATAAGGGGAGCATATTGAGGAGCCAAAAGAGGTGAACCTAGCAGAGGACATTATTAAAACCGCTAAGACGTTCCTCCAGCATGGTAGTTCTACAATTACGTCATCAGCAGATGACCTTCATATCATATGATATGCTTTTAATAATATTGCTATCTGCAGCTTGCCTCCTGGATGAGTCCTTCTGGTGCACCAAATAATTTCATTTTATAATGGGTTGACTTTTCCATCATCTCCAATATATGACTTGACCTCATGTATCTTATGGAGGACCTCATTTACTGTGCTACCCCTACGATATCCACTACAGGACTTGGTGTTTATACTGGCGACATCGTTTTTAGTATTGGCGGCGCCATCCGCGGGCACTTCGAGCACCCACGCTGACAGGGATACCCGATAAGGAGTGCAGCAGGATTCTGGAATACAAGATCCACAGCCGCAATTATATATCCTCATTCATTTCCTCAGGTCTGGCAGACTCATTCACCATTCACAACGTCCACCAGGTTTTTACAAGTGGAATGACCCTCTGAGAATGACCAGATTGGAATATTGTCACCCAACACCTTTAAAAGATGGAATTTTGGGGCACCTGATGCCACCCGCCGCGTCCTTAACATAATCCATCATGCCCATGGCTCCAGGGCACCCTCTCTGCTCCTTGCTCTAGACGCGGAAAAGGCGTTCGACAGGGTGCACTGGGGCTATATGCAACATGTCCTCTACAAATTCGGATTCTCAGGATGGATAATATCCGCCATTATGGCACTATACTCAACGCCCTCTGCACAGGTGTTCACATCGGACGCTTTATCTAAACCCTTTCTTATTACCAATGGGACTAGGCAGGGATGCCCCCTCTCTCCCCTGATTTTCAACCTTACCATGGAACCCCTGGCAGAAACTATCAGGACCCATATACAAATCTCGGGATTCCAATTTAACCAGAATTCACACAAGATCAGTCTATTTGCCGATGACATCCTACTACTCCTCTCAAATCCAGAGACCTCGCTGGCTGCCGTATCTGCAGTACTAGATTCCTTTAGCGCGGTGTCATATTATAAAACCAATAATTCAAAATCCCAGATCCTAAACCTAGGAATACCAGTAGCTAGTAGAATGATTTTGCAATCACACTTTCCGTACCAATGGAGCTCCAATGGTATTTCA